TCCGGCTGTGAAATGGGATTATCCGGAATGTATAAAGAAATGCAGCCTATAAGTTGATAAATGCGTTGTAATTTACTATGTATGTACATATATATTTGAGGAAGTATGTGTGTATGTATGTATGTATGCGTCAGGCTGCAGCCTAAACGGACGGACAGAATCGAAAGAAATTTTGACAGAGTATTGCCATGACACCTGTGCCTATAATAGAGTGAAAAATATTGGGATTCAACAAGTGCGTGGCACTTTTAATCAGTTATAATTTCGGAACCATAGGTCATATGAACTTGAAATTTGGTATGCGGTCATATATATGATAGGTGGTTATAGCAGGGTAATATAAATGAGTTTGTGAAAGGGGTCGTGACACATCACATTGGCCAGGAATGCTTTATCAGCTATAAATCCGGAACTATTAGTCACATGAACTTAAAATTTGGTCTGCAGCCATTTTAAAGGTAGGTATTTATAATAGGCTGTATATACATGAGACTAGAAAAGAGGGCATGGCACATCCAATAGGCGTGTAATTTTTAGCAGCTATAACTTCGGAATCATTAGTCCCACGAACTGGAAATTTGGTATGTAGACGCATCTATGGTGGGTTATTGTAGTAGGGCATATATAAGTGAGTTTGAAAAGGGGGTGTGGCACATCCCATGGGCGTGGAAATTTTTATCAGCTTTAGCTTCGGAACCATAAGTCACATGAACTTGAAATATGGTGTACATATACATATATCTGTGGTAGGTGCTTATAGTAGGCTATATATGAATGAGTGTAAACTCTTAGCGTTTTCTTTTCTCAAAATCAGTTTTGACCTTTTATATGGGAACTCTTGCTTTGCGTTGCCCTGAAACCCGATAAGATGTTGCGTTCTTCATATGAGCATGAAACAGAAAAAATACTACTCCATCAGAAGTTCATTTGTAGAACTTAATAACACTGATTTATTCACTCGCACTATAAGTCTTTAATTAATTTCATAGGAAACACTTATTTCCGGTACGGAAAAAATTTTTTTTTTTACAAGCGTAAATTAAGAATCAACAGTGGAACTCTCACCCTCACGTTTATTTGAGGGTAAAAAAGGCAGCACTTTTGCCGGATCAGAGCGCAACTTGCTGCGAAAAGAACACGAAGCCCTATGAAAAGGCTGAGAAAAGAACATGAAATTTTGATAGCGCTAACTTAGGGCAGAATAAGTGCAGCCTTTTTTCGAGAAAAGAAAACGCCAAATAGTAATGTGAAAATGCTTTATAAAATA